GCGGCGCTCAGCAACCCGATTCTGATGCGAAGAGGCCGGAAGCGTGAACGACTGGCGAATGCCCTCCCCACGACAAAAGTCCCGCAAGAGGTCGGAGGCGAACTCACCACCTCTATCAGAGTGCATATGCAGGACAGGAAGGTCCTTGTGGAACCGCTCGCGGAGCTAGAGACGGACTGCGCGGATCCAAGGGATCAAAACATCAGGGACCTCCCCCTTGCTGCGCAAGGGGAAGACGTGGACCGTGGTGTAGTCGTCAACAACGAGCAGAAAGTATCGCTCGCGGCCCTGTCCACGGATGCAGGGTGGGCCCCACACGTCCATGTGGAGAGTTTGCAGGGGAGCAGTCGTCGGGGGAAACGAGGAGGAGTGAGGAGTGACGCGCTGCCGCCCCTCGACACAGGGAAGGCAAGGAGGGGCAGGCGAGGGTGGGAGGGGAGGCAGAGACCTGGGAAGACCCGAGACAAGGAGGCGGGAGTGCATGCCACGGAGGCGTGGCAGGGAGGGGTGACCAAGGCGGTGGTGCCAAAGGAGAGTCTGGTGCGACAGGGCGCGACACGAGCAGGGGGCTGCAAGCTGACCTGACGCGGATGCCGACGTAGCTACCTGAGGAGGCTCAGTAGTCAGTGTGTAAAGACTCGACCCAGGCCGACGGGTGAACGTGGCCAGGTGACGGCCCGTCCGTGTACACCTGCAGATCGACACACGCTGACCCCCAGGAGTGGTGGTGGTGACCATCGCATCCTGGAGGGCAGCGGTACTCACCAAGTTCGTAGAGAACGAGGGGAGGTGAAGACCTGAGAGTGAGCCGGACAGAACCGCCGGACACGGGAGAACAGTGGAGGAGCGGGCAAGAACTGGGCCCCCTGAGGGGTCAGCCAGTCTGACAGCAATAGGTGCAGGGAGTGGTGTGACTGTGGTACTGTCGCGAAAGAAACAGCGGGAAGCACCTGAGTCAAGCGTGAATGTGTGCAAGGCCTCAGCAGGCGCAGTACCAGGGAGAGCATACTCACTAGCACCTAGAGCAGCGGCCTCTATACCTGGGTCGGGCGGCATACACACATAACAGTCACCCTCAGCACCAACAGTCAAAGCATACATGGCAGCAAGGATAGCATCATAGTCAAGAGCAAAGATATCCACACCCTGCCTAAGCAGCTCTAGCCAGCGGGAGAGCTCCGTCGCGTCGGGAAACTTTGCGCGCCAGGCGTCGTCAAGACGGGAGAAGCAGCAGGACTGTGTGTGACCAACCTTCCCGCATGTCTGACCAGCGTGGTCACCTGTACGAATGACGTACTGGCAGCGGACACTACCCCCAGACGCCCCACGCTGGGCAAACCACTCACGAAGCTCCTGGGGCGTTGGGGTCTCACGCTGACGCTGATGCTGCTGCCTCTGACCACCGCCAGAACCGCCCCTCTGACCAGCTCCACCCCGACCGCCACCACTGCTGCCGCCACCACTCCCACTGCCGCCACCACTGCCGTCGCCACCACTCCCACTGCCGCCGCCACCACTCCCACTGCCGCCTACACCGCCTCCACTCCCACCACCACTCCCTCCGCCACCACCGCCACCTCCACCGCCTCCACCGCCCCCACTACCGCCTCCACCGCTGCCACCCCGACCACCCCTGCCTCCCTTGCCCCTGCCGCTGCGGCGCCTCCCACTAGGAGCAGACGCAGCTCCGACTTCCTCAGTACGAAGGAAGTCAACAGCAGCAGCAGAAGCGACTGAGGGGACAAGGGGGGAGGGGGAACACCCTTCAAAGAAGGGAGTGCGAGGAGTGCCACGAGTAGCGCCTACAGCGACTATGCTGGTCTCAGCTGCAAGGAGGTGCTTCTCGAGCAGGTCGACAGTGAGGTCTGTGGGGTCAAGGGCAAGAAGGAGGTCCCTGACTGCACTAAGAGATTCTGGGAGGCTGGTGACGATGAAGTAGAGAGCGATGTACATGGGAGGGGGGTTCTTGGCTAGAAACTCGGCGGGAAGCGCAGCGCGGTAGCGAGTGTCACTAGTGCGAAGGTGAGTGATGAGGTCGGCAACCATGGCAAAGGCGGACAGCTCGGGAAAGAGGTAGGGCAGTATGAGGCGGCCTAGAGCAGCAGTGGTCGGGGAGGATTAACGAGCGACTACAGCGTCGTACAGGGCTCTAGCAGTCTTGTGCTGGCCAAAATGATCGCGTTCGGCTAGTGGCAAGTGGTTGCGAACGGCTAGGCGAGCATCAGCGTCACGGGTAAGCCACTGTGAGCGAGTTGCACTGTCAGCTGTGTCGGGAAGGGCGAGAGAGGCGCCAGACGTGAGGTCAAACAACGAAACGCCGTCTCTAGAATCGCTCAGTAGGTACAGCTGTAGGTAATCGAGCCACGCATCGAACTGGATCGGACGGCCCTCAGGATCGAACCAGAGTACGCTGAGAGTAGCCATAGCTGGGTGGCACGAGACTAGCGGGGCGGAGCGCGTGCAGGGCAGAGCGGCGTGCGGCTAGAGAAGGCGGCGCATGGCCAGCAGGGCGGCGCGTCAGCAGGGCAAGGCAGGGCGGCGGCTAGCAGGGCGACGCGCAGGCAGGGCAGGGCAGGGCGGCGGCCAGCAGGTCGGAACGCGGGTGGCGCGACGCAGGACAGGGCGTGCGGGCGGCGCCACGCAGGGCAGGGCGTGCGCGGGCGGCGCGACGCAGGGCAGGGCGTGCGCGGGGCAGCGCGACGCAGAGCAGGACGCGCGCGGGCGGCGTGACACGGGGCAGGGCAGGGCAGCGCGGCGCTAGTAGGGCGGCGCGACGAGCACGGCAGAGCAGCGTGCGGCCTACAGGGCGGCGTGCGGGCAGGGCAGGGCAGCGCGAGGCCAGTAGGGCGGCGCGACGGGTGGGGTAGCGCGATACAGGCAGCGAGCTATACGGTGGCCCCTAAACGGTCCCAGGAGATAACCTGCTCTGATACCATGTCAGAATACTAAGCGAGAATGAATGAACTAGAAACTACGTGGGTACAAGTTCTAACCCTAATTGGGTTGTACCTCATATGGGCTACCCCAGTACAGTGTACATAACACACGACATAACAGTTTGACAGGAGATGCCGAAAAGCCGAGCGATTTTCAGACACTTTTGCCAGCCGTACCACCCGAACTACAGGAGTTACTGATGCGATACCCCGGGATTTTTTCCCGATGACATACTAGAGGGACTGCCACCTCAGCTATCACACGACCACCGGATAGAAATAGAACCGGGGGCACATTCAACCGTACAGCGTCAGTTTTTACTAATAGAGCCCGAGGAACTGAGTTCATCCCCATTCGCCGCACCGATACTGTTCATACCGAAAGAAGAAGGAGGTTTTTGCATGTGCATCGACTACCGCACACTGAAGATCGTAAGAGTCAAGTCGCAATCAGGGCTCTTGCTAGGATTAGGCCCGTTTGAAAATACAAAACAAAATATCATTTCGTCTGACGTTCGGACGGGCATATTTTTCTGGTATGATTTTTCAGATAAATGTTGGAGCTATGTGGCAAGTTTGGTGGCGACCGGGCTGTGGGCGAGAACGCACGTGACATGAGGGACTGTATAGTCTCGAAATGCACAGTACAAGAAGAGATGCGATGCGAGTAACCAGGGGGGACGGAGGGACTTATGGGGAAGGGGGCTGGGTGGGGAGAAGGGACCTCAGGGTTTTACGGGGAGAAGGGCTGGAGTAGGATTGGTAGAGGAGCGAATGCCTCGAGGGGGAGGGGGGATGGGCTGGTGTGGAGGAGCGAGGAATTCGGGAAGGAGAGGGGTGGGGAAAATGGGAGGCGAGGTAAGGATGGGGGGCGGTATCAGACGAAAAAAAACTCGTTATCTGAAATTTCAGATAAAGTATTACTCTTGCTCTGAAAAAACAGATGAACCAAAATCACTTATCTTATGGATCAAACAATATTAAAAGCACTGTCTTAAGAATCAGATGAAAGCAAAAAAATAGGTGTGAAAATCAGACCATCAGACCGATTTGGTCTGATAACGAGAGCCCTGGTCGCGATACCCCATCCCACGCGCCGACAAACTGATCGACCAATTGCCAACAGCTAGGGTGTTCTCGAAGATCGACCTACGCGGAGGTTACCACCAGATTAGAGTCGAACAGACAGGCTGCGCCAAAACAGCTTTTAGAGCTAGGTATGGGTCTGTGTCGAATACACAGAGATGCCATTTGGGCTGACCAATGCGCCCCCAACATTTCAAATGATGACGAACGAGGCGTTTAGGCCACTTTTAGATAAATTCGTCATAGTTTACCTCGACAACATTTTAGTTTACAGCTGGGACAGGCAGCAGCACTTAGCAGACCTAGAAGTAGTCGTCAGAATTATAGACGAGCATCAACTACTGGCAAAGGGTTCCAAGTGTGAGTTTTTTCAGGACCGGTTAGAGTTTATGGGGCACGCCATTTTGGAAGCTGGGGTTGAAATAGATAAAAATGGAATGTTTTGCTCATTCCTTCGCTCATTCGAATGTTTTGCTTCGATACCGTAGTGCAATCCTAGCTCGCTCACTCAATTGTACTCATAACATTTTGTTTTGTTTTGTTTTTTTATCACCATTTTCTCATAGTTTGCAGCAGAATGAACCTTTCGAAGTCAATTATGAACCAATGAATGACTCGTGAGTCCTGCCGTGACTCTATTCCTAGTCACCATTTCAAACGCGGTTCCAGGTATGCCGTCTCTACAAGCTGCCCAGCTCATCATAACCATAGGGGGTTCACCTCCACCCTACCTTAACCTTTGACTCCTCCAATGAGAGTACGCCATGGCACGGGGACGGCGCTCATGTTCGCGCTTATCCTCCACCTGCCCCTCACCTCTCATTCTCCCCCCTCCCCTCCGCCGACCACCTCCACTCCTCAGCCTCAGCCTCCATGGCGCTCCCACCGCGGCGTTGATAGGTTGTTTCAAACATCTGGCCTGGAGGAGTCCTATTCTGCTCTCTTTCTCTCTCTCACACACACTACCGAGTCCCAATCATGCGCAGTGTCACGCCCAAAACTCGTTTCCGCACGCCTGCCGTCGCGTGGCCACGCTCTGCAGATGTTGCGATTCTCTTTCTCCTCCTCGCCGCCTTCGCGCTCTCTGCCACCGCCTCCGCGTGCTCCCTTTCCAGCGCGCCGCGGCCCAATCGGCGGGGCGCTGCCCAATCGGCGGGGCGCCGAAATCAAGATACGGTGTCGCGCAGAGACGCGGTCTCGCGTCTGTCCAAACAGCGCCTGCTATCTCGCGCTCGACCCAGCCGCGCCCGACGCTCGCTCTTAAAGGTCACCGCTACCAGCGCTGCGAAGCCCGTCATTCTGGAAAATTCGCAATGTGAGTCGAGTCGGTTACCGTCCGGTGGAGGCTCCCAGGCAGCTTCGTCGCGACATAAGTCAGTAGTATCCTCCCATTCGGCACCTGGGAGCTCCCATTTCTCACGCGTCACAGGGACGCTTTTCGCGAGAGACGGAGGCTTGCACGCACACACGTCTAGGGCTGCCCTTCCCGGCGGTTCCAGCTCTCTTGTCTGCGACGTCGCGCCGCCGAAGGTCGTTTGTAAGGATTTCAGAAGAGAAACGACCTCCTAAACAATGCACGCGCGCCCGGGCAAGGCCCGCCATTCCAGTTCAGCTGTCAATCTGTCCCGTCGTCGCGCCGTCCCGGGCTCATTGTGCTGGCAGTGAGCCGCAACTGAAACCGCCACCTTTGGCTTGAATCTGCTCCCATTCCCTCCCCCTGTGCCGGCAGTGAAGGCGCTGGTGCAGCTGCAGGAAGCGTGGGGCATGTGGGCGGGCAACAGCAACGCCACCACTGCGTGCTCTGCATGGACTGGCGTCACCTGCAGCCCCAACGGACTCGTCACCGCTCTGTGTGTCTCACTGCCCTCGATTCCCAAATTGCCCTAATTGCCCTATTTGCCCTATTTGCCCTATCTGCCCTAATTGCCCTATTTGCCCTATCTGCCCTAATTGCCCTATTTGCCCTAATTCCCGCTCGGTGCTGTGCCCTTCATACCCCTCCTAGTCTTCATTGGCCTAACTGCCACTCGTTGCGCTGGTTGCCTGTAGCGTCTGCGACCACTAATAGTCCGTGGTCTAGGGCACGGGGCGTCACGTGCAGCCCTAAGGGTCGTTGTCGGCCTGTGCGTTGCGTTACCGTCCATCACTGCCCTCCTTGTCCTCGTTGCCGTAATTGTCAATCGGTGTTTCCCCTATATCCCCTCGTTGTCTTCGTTGCCCTAATCGACGCTGTGTTTCCCCCTAATTTGCAGCGCCTCTGTCAAACCGTTTAGGCCCTGTGGTCTAGTCTAGGTTTGCCGCGCTGTACTGATATCCAGACACGAGATCTCTAATTTCAGCTGACCCCATTTTCCGCTCCATTGATTGGCCGCATTGGCCGCAGCAATAGAAAACTCAAGTGTGGTAATCCAGTAAACGATTTGCCGCTGGTTTGGTCCTCCAGTGAAGTCGCTGCGTCCTCACCCGGGTAGACGTTGGCACCAGGGGGGTGACGGGGTGTGACGCGTGGAAGGAGGCTAACTGGAGGAATCAAGGCAGTCAGTCGTTGCGCCTAATAGCCCCTGTGTTGGACCAATGGCCTAGACCCCAGAGCACGGGGCGTTACATCGCTCTTCATTGCCGTCGTTACCCTTCGGCCCTTGTTGCCCTTGGTTGCCTTGCCTCTCATGTGTATTTGGCTTCTCCGCTTGTAATGATTGTGTGCTATTTTTGATGGGCTGGAATCTATGCGTGCTGGGAGGTGGGTGGGTGAGGGGGGCGGGGAGGGAGGTGAGGGGGGAAGGGGGGGGGGAGGAGATGGGGTCGGGGGAAAGGGGGAGGTGGGGTAGTGGGAGGGGGAGAGGAGGGGAGGGGTGAGGAGGGGGTGGGGGAAAGAACGGGGCGGGGGAGGGTGGGGTGGGGAGGGGGACGGGGGGAATGAGAGCTGGGTATTGCGTGCATGCATGCGTGTGGTGGCATTGGCAGGGATGCGAAGTTATTCCCTAAAGTGGATCCTCCCCCCAGCGGCGCCATACCCGCCTCCATCACCAGCCTCGCTTCTCTGCAATACCTGTCCGTCACCACCACCCACTCACCCTCTTCCACCGCTTCATCCTTTTTGGATGCACGATGCCTTTCCTGCGTTCCATGCCAGCATGCGCTTGTTCTTGTGCTTTCACCCCCCATTCCCCGCACCTGCCTCGCCCTCCCCCCCTCCCACATGCTTGCTTGGCGCCCATGCCCCTCCTGAACCTCGCCACTCCTTCCACATGTGTCCACAGACTATACCATACCCACTCTTGCCCATGCATGTCTCCCTTCTTGCCTTGCCGGCCCACAAGCTGTAACCCTTATGCTTATCATTCCGTATGCTTCAGTTGCCTTCGTCTCTGCTGTTTCCTGTCCTCCCACCCCGACAGCGATCTGACCTACATTGATCTGGTGGGGCCCATTCCACCCCCTCGCTCCTCTCACCAGCCTCAGCTACCTGTACGTCCCAATGTTGGAGTCATTTCGAGCTTCAGTTTCACAAATTCGCCTCGCTTTTCGTATTTTTCCTTTCCCAATAATCACGCCCTACTTGCACTACTCTCGTCGCTTATTCCAGTTTGATGGTGTCTGTTGTCCCTAAATCCGGTACCATCTGTGTGGTGTGTATGTCTCTCCATTGCCCGCTGGATGTGCCACGTGCAACCTGCACTGCATGTTTTCCACTGCTGCTTGCATGCCACATGCGGCCTCCTCAGAGCTATTGGGGGGCAGAGCAGGCTGACTGGCACTGTGGAAGGACTGGCTTGGCTCTCCTCCCTCACCAACCTGCAATTTCTGTATGCCCCGCACTTACTGTATGCCTGGCAATTATTGTATGCTCTGCATTTATTGTATGCTCTGCAATTATTGTATGCTCTGCAATTATTGTATGCTCTGCAATTATTGTATGCTCTGCAATTATTGTATGCTCTGCAATTATTGTATGCTCTGCAATTATTGTATGCTCTGCAATTGCTGTATGCCCTGCAATTGCTGTATGCCCTGCAATTGCTGTTTGCCCTGCAATTGCTGTATGCCCTGCTGTGCAGACAGTGTTGTTGCCCATGCAAGCCATGTTTTCCTTGCAAACAGTGTCACCGCCCTCCTACATGCGTTGGCATGCCACTTTGTCTTTCAGCCATGCATGGCAGATATATTGAATCACTCCAGTCTCCAGAAACCCATGCAGATATCCCATGCTCCTACCCACACTCCCCATGGCCTCTTGCATGCCTCACTGCCCTCCCACCCACCACCAGGAGTCTAGAGTACTTGGATCAATTCACAGGGGACTTGACCTCCCTGCACATTCTTTCTCACCTGAAGAACCTTCAAGACCTGTAAGCATGACTACAGTGCACAAACATATTCTGCGCGCAACATGTTTGTTTCTAGTACCAATCTGCATGTCACCATGTGCCTTGGTTTATAACAACCCACAACTGGTGCAGGCACTGGTAATGCGTTCACTCTCTTACTCATTGCATGCACCAACACAGGAAACTCATTTCGCTTTCCAACGTCACGGGGGAGATACCAAGAGAGTTTCGATACAAGACTGCCCTCACCTCACTGTAAGCTGCACACAAGTCCCACGGGACAGTAAATGCAAACCCTCTCTATCCCCTCGCCTCGCCCGATGCCCGACATGATGACTGCATCTCTCTGCTGTTTGCTTCTCTACATGATGCTCGTGCTTTCCTCCCTGCAGGGACCTATCCTTGCTTCGTGCCGTTGAGTTTCCCGATTGGGTCACCCACCTCTCCAACCTTCAGTATCTGTGAGTGAGCTCTTCCTACTTCGGCATTTGTACGGGCCGGGCCAGGTCCGGCTCGTGGCCAGTGCGTCCCGGGCCCCCCTGCCCTTCGTGTCGTGGCCGGCCTGGGTCGGGCTGACCCTGGCCCAAGGGTCGCGCGAGCCGATAGTAGACTGCATGGTTACCGAACCCAGTTTTACATAAAATTTTGCCTCGCATGCCCTGGCCACATGGCCACCGAACCTCAGTTTAGGCCAGTTCAGATTGGTTCGGGCTGGGGGTGCCGGGCCCGATGGGCTTACTTGTTATAAAGATGGCCCCGGACCACCCTCGCAAGTCAGACCGGCCTGGACCAGGCTGGCCCTCGGCCCAGCCTGTGCCTGTCTACTCCTACGCTCCTTCTCCACCATCGCCACCGGGTTAATAAAATTGGTGAGGTAGTAATCAAATTTCGACTCGTATTCGACTCGAATAAAACGTTGTATTTGTTCAAATATTTGTTTGTCACTCGCTAAATACTCGTCTAAGTATTCGTATTCGAACCGTGTATTCGTTTTCCACCCTTACCCACAGGGCACGATGATAAGCGCACGTGCCAGTGCTGTGACTGGTTTTTTCTCAGCGTGGAGACTCTTGCTGGCCCTCCCTTGTGCGCGCGCCTAGGATTGAGCATGGGCCGGGCCGGGCTGGGCCTGGGTCGGGCCGTGCCGGGCTGCCCCAAAAAGCGGGCCGGGCCGACCCGGCCCGACCCGGGCCGTGACGGCAAAACCTCGGCCCGAGCCCGCCCAGAAGGTGGTCGGGCCGCAACCGGCCCGACCCGGGCTGTGTATGGGCCGACCCGGGCCAGGCCTTAGACCGTCAAGGTTCTAAGTACGTTAGACCTTGAAGAGCTATTCTATATTAACTTATAGTTAAGCCTAATCCAGCTAGGAGAGATCGAAGACTATGGTGAGAAGGGAAGGGCGAGCTGCTCGATCAGCTCAATTTTGACCCTCGCGGCAACCGGACCAAAACGGCCCGACCCGGGCCACGCCTCGAGGCGGGCCGGCCCGGCCCGCCCGGGGCCGACAGCCAAATGTTGAGGCATGGCCCGGGGCATTTCCGGGCCGGCCCGGGTCGGGCCGGGCCCAGCCCGTTTTTTTGCTCAACCCTACGCGCGCCTTCCCTTGTGCTCGCGCCTACAGGAACTTGGAGACAGACGATCCAGCCCGACAGGGGCTGCTGAAGGAAGACATCTCTGAGCTCACAGCACTCACCAGCCTGTGAGTTTAGCATCATGGGAGGGCAACGAGCATGCCTGCTTGGAGCTAGTTCGCAGATTGGAAGTATGCTCAATTCTGGCTAATAAGTTCACGTAAAGTTTGTTTGGAAAGGTTTGGGTAGGGTGTTGGAAAAGCAGAATTGTTACAGTAGATTTATACATGATACTAGGGATGAGCAAAGGGCGAACTCGAACATGTTCGCGTTCGCCCTGGCACGAACAAAAAGGGAGTTCGCCGTTCGCCTGTGAAGGCGTGTTCGGGCGAACCTCGAACACGTTCGTGTTCGACGCGGGGCACTTTAAGCCCGTGTTCGGGCACGAACGTGTTCGGGCGAACCTTGAACACTGTTCAGCGAACGGGTGTTCGTTTCTTTGCTCATCCCTACATGATACGGTCAATCATATCACGCCCTGCCCCACACCATCTTGGTTGTATCCTTGCTGCATCACCGTCTCCTGTAGGGCAGGAAAGGCAGTCATGAGATGTGCCCAAGTTTCTTACGATACAACTGTCTCCTGCCCCCATGCCCTGCAGGTCCCTCAGCGGAAACAACCTGGAGGGATACATACCCAAGAGCTGGTCCAATCTGGTCAACCTGCAGGAGCTGTGAGTCACTGCTTGCTTGACATAACATCCCGCCATGGCATCATGCTGGCCCTGTGGCGGTGGCAAGTCGAGTAGTTTGCTTCAAGCTCGACACGGCCGACTAGTCAAAAGAGTAAGCAAGGACAAGGTGACAAGAAGGTTAAGTAACGTGAATAGCATTTCTTAGTCAAGGTAGCAGTACAAGGACTCGCGTTTTCAATAGATGATGAGATGAGTTTTCACGAGATTTCATGAGAACTTATCTCAGGACTTACCCGCGCGTTTCGATTTCTAGACCTTCGTGCCTTCGTCGGCATCTCAAATCCCGTTGCAGCATGAATGGCCCCTATTATTGCTGCCTGAACCATCCTATGCCTATCTTGTCAAACCCAACAGTACGCTGTTAGAAACACTAATGGCGTGTCTCCTTCGGCCCATACGGTAAAGTTTGGATTGTTTTGTTCGAACTTCAACAATTGAACATTGCTCGACTTGTAGTGGAGTAAGCTCGGTATCGATTCACATTCATTGCCCTCTACAATATTGATTCGTATCTCTACTTGAGATGAACATGTTCGCGTTTGCCCGTGCGCGAACATGTTTTGTGGGCAATGAACATGTCGGTTCGCCACAACCACGTGATTCAGAATTGTGTTCGCCTGTTCGCAGGTGAGGGCAAAATTGTGTTTGCCCGAGCAGCAGCATGTTCGCCGAGAATATGTCCGTGCTTGCCTAACCTGAAGCCCTCATTAGAGTCACACATCACAATTTCGGGTTTAGTGTGTACCTGGTGGTGGGTTGATTGTGTGCGGCATTGAGGAGGGAAGGGTAGAAATATAACACCATGGAATGACAAATGTGCAGGGGATAGTTTAAACATAAAGAATATATATATGTAAAAAGATATAAAATCATGCCTCTTCGTATGCGAAGTACAAAATGTATACTGCCATGTAATGGAATGTCACGAAACCAAATAAAAACCTACAGATTGTGTCCCAATGTCGACCAAGAATGTGACGTGCGGGACCTTTTCGTCTTCTCCCTTGTCTTAATCAGATATCTAAGCTCCAACCGCCTCCAGGGATCCATTCCGGACACATTATCAGCCCTCACAGCCCTGAGTATACTGTAAGTTAACTGGTCTCCTCGCCTTTTCCCATCTGGCCCTCCACTCTGTCCCTCTCTATATCCCCCAACCCTTCCTCACTCAGTACGGCACTTTTGTTCTTCCCCTTCCCCGCCCCCTCCCTCATCCTTCCCCCCATTCTCCCCCTCTCCACTCCACTGCAGAGTCCTTTCGTCCAATTCTCTCTCTGGCCCGATACCCCCTGCGTTCTCCACCAACATCAACACATTGTATGTCACTCCTTCCTCCCCCTCCTGACCCACCTTCCCAAGCCTAACCCCACCCAGCACGTCTACGTCCTGTGCCTTCATACTTGAGCACATTTCAGCTCCTGCCCATCCCTTCCCACATCTCCTGCTGAACTATTCTCGCCGTGCTGGTCCGACCCTCCTGTCCCTTGTTTTTGTCCTCGGAGCACTCAGCACTCCCTGGCTCCTTCTGTCAAAGGTCCAGCTGTTTTTATAAAAAGCAGGTTACACTGGCGTCACCTGTCTGCCTCGGCCAAGCTGCCTATGCCTGAGTAAATACAAGTTTCCTGTATTTGATGGAAACAAACAAGCGGAAAGCCACGGAAGACAGGTTGCGTCGCTGCAGGCTATTTGTGATGCACAGTGGGTTATGATATTTGTGAATTTGAGCGTCCCATGCACACACGCGTTGTGGTTCCATTGTTCTTATCCCACTATATGGTCCGCGGTAGGCATGAGCAAAGACTCGCCCCTTGTTTTGTATACTGATTTTGGGTGAGTAGCAAGTCAGTTTTTTCCAAGATTCTACTCCCACAAGTCAAGATGAGTAATACTCGCGAGTAAACGCCTACACACTTTTTACTCGATTCAGGAAGCAAGGAACGAGTGCCCGTGTGCGGGCGAGCGAACGGGGAGAAGAGGTGGTGGTGCCAAAACGAGGCGAGTAGTACTTGCGAGTATTTTGTAACGAGTTACGAGTTGGGGATAGGGGTGAAGTTACTCGTACAAGTAATTTACGACTCGACTCGTTTCCAAATCGAGTAACCCAAACTCCAACTCGTTTCCAAAAACCGAGTAATCCAAACTCCAACTCGGCTCGATTCGTTTCCAAACCGAGCAACCCAAAAACGAAGCGAGTAAATCTCGACTCGTCAATTGCTCATGCCTAGTCCGTGGCACTGTGATGGGTCAACCGTCACAGACTTAGAAGCACCTGATTCCCTCCAGCTCGATGCTAGATGTTAGTGAGTCTAGTCCAGTCGAGTCTTCGCCTTGAAGCTATTCCCTTTGGAACTGCTCCAAACTCCAACTCGAGCAGCGTATGCTCAATTCAGTACTCCAATAACTCCTATGTGGTACGTCACTCTTGGTCTTGGGTCACCAACATCCAGACCACCATTGTCCGCACAATCGCCTTCTCCTGCCTCACTCCACGACACCCGCCCCATTGTGCTCTCTGCACCCTCCTAGCAATTAAGTGATCTCTATATCATTATCGTTTTTTCTCTCCCTCTCTTCCTTTCCCTCCATCCAACTCTCTCCTGTCCCGATTTAATCCTTTGTAATCCCTCCTTCCTCACCTCATTCTCTCCTCGCTTTGTCTTTCCACGGCATTTCATGCCAACCTTTCCTCCACTATTTCACCGCTTGCACAACCCCCCGTGCTAGTGACCTTCGGATGCAGAAGATGTTGAGACGAGTCACTTCTCCTTTTCTGCGTGCTAATCCAGATATCTTGACCACAATATCATCAGTGGACCCATCCCACCACACCTAGCAATGCCCAGCCTTGTTGACCTGTGAGACCCACCACTTTCCACCTCCAGTCGTTGTTTTACACGCACCCATTTTTGATCCTCAACTGAAATTGCCCTCCGTAAAACCCTCCTCCAACCTGCACGTTCATTGTAGCTCCTTTTGTCCGCTGCTGTTCCAACCTTTCCATTCCTCCGCCCTGTGCAATGTTTCCTGTTTGGCTGTCCTGGCTCCAGTACGTTATTCAACAATCTGTTCACAGGGGGCATCCCCAGCACCTTCACTCGGCTCACTGGCTTGGATTTACTGTATGTCTCTCCCATGCTGCGTTACGCCCTTCCATTTCTCTCTACCCTCCTGTACTACATATTGCCCCTCGAATAGAGAGTCGTTTGTTCAAGAAAATGCTCGTCGTCTTGAGCACAGATTTGATTGCCGGGTTGATTGCCATCTCACATGTTACTGCTTGTTCATTGCTGTGCCTTATCTGACCACTCTTGCTGCATCCCCAGCCCGTATGCTCATTGCCTTGGACGACCTGTGCTGTGCGTGTCTGCTCCACTGGACAGAGACATTGGTTTCAACAATCTCACCTCCGGCCTTCATGTGGTGGCTCAGATGACATGGCTCACAGGCGTGTGAGTGTTCTCCGCTCTTTGCACCTCACCTTGCTCACTGGCTTCCCTTCGTCCATTTACATTGAGGTGCTTTTTGAATCGTCTCAACTTTCTGTTGTGCAGACTCCTCGATACCAACAGCTTCTCTGGTGTGCTTCCAGCGTCCTTATCAGCAATCAAGGGCCTTTCGTCTCTGTGAGTCTGCTGTATCCATGTCTCACCCCATCAGCCAGTGCAACAACCCCTTTCTTTGCACCTACCTGAATGGGATGCTATAAACTGAAGCCTAGGGTTGCGATGTTCCCTTTCTTTAGGCCACCTGTATAATTCCTTCAATCAATATTTGGCCACTTTTTTTTTTCCTCCAACTCTTGGTCCATTGTTGATTGTGTGTGCACACATAGATGGAATGGACTTGTACAACTATGTACACGTATATGCACCAATTTGTGTATATGCACCACTTTCTCAGCATATTCATGAATGGAAAAACCTGTCTGCATGACATGACGTGAATGCAAGTGCCAGAGAAGAGACCATTGTTTGAATGCAAGTGCCCACATGTTTGGGAGCGTAGGCAGTGGCCTGTATGTACCTGAGCACTTGAATGATCACTCTCCCATGAGCCAGTCTGCACATGGAGTTGTTTCGTCATCTCACCCCACCCACCACACACGTGTACCTTGGGCCTGCTTCAGGCTCATTACAAACAACCGCTTCACTGGAACCTTCCCCGAATTTATTCTGCAGCGCACGGGCCTTTTATACCTGTAGGCCATCCACTCATGGTCTCAGACAACAGCTCGTTGCACAGGTGGAAAATATGTTGCCGATTTCACGAGATTGTGATGGATTGTTGTTTTCTTTGTATGTTCCTGTAACAATTTGAACAAACAGCTGAGGTGGCAATTGCGATCGGAATGGCCATGGCAGGGACTTGGCGAACAACAGTTTCACTGGGCATATCCCCCGTGAATTATCCAACCTTGTCAACCTGGTGGGCATGTGAGTGGCGCTGCTGCTCGATTCATCGCAAGTGTCACCAGCACCATGAATTCAGCCTGGGAGCGATTATCAGTGCAGTAGCTTGCAAGAGTTGATGGCTGTCGTGGAAGTGCAACGGGATTTATACGTGAGAGGAAGTATTGCCAAGGTGGCCAGTAATTTGGGGCTGAGGATCACTCAGCCAGTCTGCCCATACTGTAACCTTCTTGACATAGTTTGTTTGCTCACTCGTTGACATCATTGCCAACAGTTCTCTCGATGACAACAATTTCCATGGAGCCATCCCATCTGGCCTGCTTCTTATATCCACACTCACCTCTCTGTAGGTCCACTTCACCTGTTCTGGAAGTTCCATTGTTTCCAATTTCTACCTTGCTGTCCCGTCAACCGCATTCTCTCAACGAGGGTGAAAATGTATTCATACAAAACTGATGAAGACTATTCCTGAGTTTGTGAAGATCCCTGAGTGTTTTCCTTGTCCGCTGCCAATGATTTAATCAGAGTCTGCATGCCTGCTACTTGCTTTGAATTCGGGCTTGCCTATCTTCATCTTCTAAGTTTGCAAGATCGTATCCCTTTTTCAAGCGTGCTCTTCGTTATAGATGCACAATGCATGCATGCAATTGTGCAGTTTCCTTCCGCATCCTTAACGCCTGCATTCAGCCAATCATTTCCTATATTTCCTCTTTTTTCAAACACAGGCAAGTATCGAACAACTACCTTACAGGAGGCCTCCCAGGGACTCTCAGGGCTTCATCTTCTCTTCACACTCTGTAAGTAGTGCAATCACTGGGTACTGCCACCACTGTGTGTGCTGCTGGCACTGTGTGTGCTGCTGGCACTGTGTGTGCTGTTGGCACTGCGTGTGCTGCTGGCACTGTGTGTGCTGCTGGCACTGTGTGTGCTGCTGGCACTGTGTGTGCTGCTGGCACTGTGTGTGCTGCTGGCACTGTGTGTGCTGCTGGCACTGTGTGTGCTGCTGGCACTGTGTGTGCTGCTGGCACTGTGTGTGCTGCTGGCACTGTGTGTGCTGCTGGCACTGTGTGTGCTGCTGGCACTGTGTGTGCTGCTGGCACTGTGTGTGCTGCTGGCACTGTATGCGTGTCTGTTGCCACAGTGTGTGTCTGCTGCCACCTTTTCATTTCGTTCACATGCCCCTTGAATATCTTTATCCACTTCTCCTGCACTGTGCAGTAGCCTGGCAGGAAATGGCTTCACGGGCTCCTTACCAGACTTCTCTCGCTGGAACGTCAGCTGTGCACAGATGTAAGCCTCCCCACACAATCTTCCCCTCCTGTCCTTCCCCCCCACCCCTTTCCTCCCTCACACTCTCCATTTCCCACTTTCAACATCATCACTTGCTCAATTTTGTTCCTAACACCATGGTGCCTGTGCTGTCCACATGCATGTATTGCATCTCAATGTGCATCCGTCCCTAGCACTTGAGGTTACCCTACTGACGTCAGTGGCTCTCGTTGCTGCCTCGCCCCGCGTGTGTCATGGACCAGTAATCTGAGTGACAACAACTTCACAGGGTCGATTCCCGAATCCATCTCCGCCCTCGCCACTCTCGATGCCATGTGAGCCTTCTTCAAAAGCACTGTGCCCTAGCACCTTCCCTTCCGCACCTTCCCTTCCGCACGTGCCCTTCAGCGCATGACCATCAAATCAAACTAGTCTCATTTAACCAACTATTGTCCGAATGTCATTTTTTGAGCCTGAAATCTGCAGGGAAATGGAATTTGTGGGCCGTGGAAAACAGTGTACGCAAAGAGTGCCTGTGTCCCAGCTGCACGTGCTTCATGCATACTTCAACCAATGTACCCCTTGCCTTGCCATGCCCACACAGCTTTCTCAACAACAACCAACTGACAGGCACCATCCCCTCTGCCATCTTCACCATGACGAATCTCAAATACATGTGAGCCTCTCAAGGGTTAAAAGGTCCCCTCACCAAGTACCCTTTAATCGTTCCCACCTCTGCCCCTTGGTGATTTCCTGTATCAACCCTCACCGCTCGTGCATATGCTAATTCTCATTGGTGTCTCGTCTCTCCCTGCCATGGCCCTCCAGCTACATGGCCAACAACCATCTGACTGGCACTCTGCCGGATGCCATCAGTCAACTGGAGAAGCTTGAACAGATGTGAGGGTTCTGTCTGCATTCCGCTACAATTTCTCAGAAATGTTGGCACCGTGTAGAATTATTACTGGCACCACAAGCAAGTAAATTCTAGGGTAGATTGTCACTAAAAGACAAGTCTACCACAGTAAAGATTGAAGAATAAAACGAACATGCAAACGTGCCACCCACCACTCCAGCCTGTTGTTCGTCATGCATTCTTCTGCACCTTCCTTCCTCCTGCCACTGCTCTACCTGGCCCCCCAGCTGGCTGGACAACAACAACATCGAGGGCCTTCTGCCGACTGGCCTGTGCTCGCTGCCCTCGCTGTGGCGCATGTGAGTGGCTGTCATACACAAAGGAACATTTCTGTAGAGTCTCCAGTTTCTCCCAGCCAGGACAGTTGCAGACTTGTTCTAAGAATTAAGACTTCACACCGCATTGATGATCACAAAATTTGACAATTAGCCACACCTGTATGGGTGTGGTGTGTGCTGTGCTGCTGGCAGCATGATGAGCAACAACTACCTCTACGGGCCTCTGCTAGACTGCCTCTTTGACAAGTGTGTCAACCAAATGTGTCTCAACGAGCATACTTTCTTTTCAGTACCATGCATGTACCATCTCACTCTCACACTCAATATGTGAACCGCGACGAGTGAAACATTTGTATTTGCCATCCCTGTCGCCCCCTGCTCCCCTTAGCGATGTGAGCAACAACAGCCTGTACGGGCGCATCAACCGCGACTTCAAGAACATGGTGGCGGATGGCGGTGCGCTCATCAACTTGGCTCACAACTTCTTCTTCGGTGATGCCGTGCTCTTTGCTGCCGGCTGCCAGGTCTGCCCGATTAACATCACAGAGTCCAACCAGCTCGGCATGGGGGACACCTTTGATGTGCTAGCTGGCAAGTGCAATGACGTTGCAGCCACTGGTATGCGAGACATCTCCGTGGCGGGGGCAGGCAAGGAGGCGAGGGTGAGTCTGTCGGGCAACTGCCTGACGCTCAGCCCGGACGCAGAGTGCTCATCCAACGCCACCCAGCGCAGCGCAGCAGCCTGCCAGGCGTTCTGCAGCATCACGGACAACGGCCCGTGTGACGGCCATGGGGAGTGTGTGCCGCCTGCCCCCGCCTCCACCTCCAACTTCACCTGCCTCTGCGATGCTGGCTACTCCGCTCTCGACTTGGGAAACGGCTCTACCTGTGCCATTGTCAACTCCACCACCACCACTGGTGAGCCTGGCTGGCTTATATGCACTGCCTCAATTCTAACATTCGGTACAAATACTTATGTCTCGAGGTTGTTGTTGTCCACACCCTATCACTCTTTGCCCCAACTCGACAGCTCCCTCTGTCCACCTCTCTGTTTTCCATATTTTGCCCTGCCTCAGCAGTGTTCTCCCGCCCTGCCCACCCCTCCCACCCTGCCCTATCCTCCCCTCCCCTTTTCCTCTTTCTCCTTCTCCGCAGTGTCCTCTCTGTCCACGGGCGCCATAGTGGGCATTGCTGTGGGCTGCTTTGCTGGCTTCACTCTGCTGGCTGCTGTGCTCGCATGGCTGCTGTGGCCCCGCGGTCCAAGTGAGTCCCCCACACGTCTCCCCCATTGCTCGCACGTCTTTCTGGGTCTCCTTCCTTGCTTCCCTGCTCTTTCACTAATCCTTCACTGCAATTAAGCCTTTCGACTCCACTGCCCCCATGCTATGTCCACTCATGATCATCTACACCCTTGCTTGCTCACTCCTCTCGTCTGTTTTTGTGTGAGCACAGAGAAGTGGGAGGGGCTGGATGTGTGTGAGCAGTTCTCGCTGCAGCAGATGGTGAAGGCCACCAACAACTGGTCGGACGACAATGTGCTGGGCAAGGGTGGCTTTGGCGTTGTCTACAAAGGCCACTCGCCACACGGCCAGCTGTGGGCCATCAAGCGCTCCACAGTCATGACCAATGACTTCGAAACGGAGGTCAGGCAGATATGTCATTTACCAGCCTCTCTATCTAATCTTCTGCGTTTCGTTGTCAGGGCACAGGAAAAACAGTACTTTAGTCCATAATGCTGACTGATTTAGTGCTCGCTCGCCGTCCCTTAGCAGTGTGCAAGTTCCTGTGCGGTATTATGCTCACCTTCCATGTGCGTGTATCTGTCTTGCGTGCTGCCTGCAGGTGCGAGCCATGGCGTCTCTCCACCACTCGCATCTCGTTCGCCTGCTGGGCTTCTGCCTGGATCAGAACGTGGAGACGGGCAAGCAGGAGCAGATCCTGGTGTACGAGTTTGTGGGCAACAGGGACATGGAGTACCATATTCACCGTAACAAGAGTGAGTTGCTCCAGCACGAGCATGGCTGAATTGTTGGCTGACATTTATACTTCTGCACAGGACATGACAAATTTACTCAAAAGAACACCACCACTAAAAAACCATGCTTTCATGATCCATTTCCCCTCCAGGACCGCTCTCGCTACGCCAGAGGTTGCGCTTGGCACAGGGATCAGCAGAGGGGTTGGCCTACCTGCATGGGTTTGAGACGCCCATCGTTCACCGCGACATCAAGCCGGCCAACATCCTTGTGACTGCCGACATGCACGCCAAGGTGGCTGACTTCGGGCTGCTCAAGCGCATCACTCATGGTGATGCTGATGCCACGCGAGTGGCTGGCACTCCAGGCTACGTGGACCCGGATTACAACCGCACTCGCATCATCACAGCCAAGAGCGATGTCTTCAGGTCCGCATGCTTGTTCATTTGCGCAACGAAATGAGATCCTGCACAACTCAACGTTTCTCTATGTTGTTTTTTTTCCAGTTTGTGTTGAATGTATGTCCTCGGTACTACTATCTCTACCCGTGTTTCATTATATCCCAACTGTCCGTCTATTCATTGCATGACTTCTTGCAGCTTTGGCATTGTGCTTCTTGAGTTGCTGACTGGAAGGTCACCCCAAATCGACGCAAAATCGCACATAAGGAAATGGGTACACCCGTCTCTGTTCTTATGTTAGATGTTCACACATTTATTCTAATTTCTATATCATGCTGGATTTCGCTCTCCTTGTTGTCATGCCGTCATCCACCGCCATTCGGTATTGCCATGCTGCTTTGCATCACCTTTCAAAGCTTTGTTGCCTCCCCTATTCATCCCTCCGTGCATGACGCTCATTCTCATCAGGCAATGAAGAAGATGGAGGCATACGAGTTAGATCAGCTCAAGGACAGCAAGATGCCGGCGGTGAGCGAGGAGGCCACAGTGGACTTTGCAGACCTGGCTCTGGACTGCATCAAGTCTCCCGGCACACGGCGGCCCACCATGAAGGCAAGGCTGGTCTTGAAGGGCTTCACGCAGGTGTATGGCGCCGACTACGACGAGAGGTACACGCCGGTGAGCAACTACATCACGCTGAGGATTTTCCTCAGCATCGTCGCCATCCTCAACCTCAACCTGATGCAGCTCGACATGAAGAACGCCTTCCTGCAGAGCAAGCTCGATCAGGTGCTGTACATGTACCAGTCAGACTACTTCAACGACAAGACTGGCCGGGTGTGTAAGCTGCTGAAGTGCCTCTACGGGCTGAAGCAGTCGCCGCTGTTATGGTACATGGCTCTCAACGGTGTGCTGCTGGGTGCTGGCTCGAAGAAGAGCCAGGTCGACACCACGCTCTACTTCAAGGTCGGCGTGGATGACGTGGCCTGCTGGATGCTGGTGTACGTCGACAACCTTCTCGCCACCAGCAGCAGCACCGAGATGCTGAAGGAGCTGAAGGAGATGCTGGAGGCTGCCTTCGATCTGCGCGAGATCTCGCTGGTGCAGAAGTACCTTGGGCTGGAGATCATCCGCGACAGGTCGGCGGGGAAGCTCTGGCTGCACTAGCAGGGCAACGACGACAAGCTGCGTAGGCGCTTCATCGACGAGGAGCAGAACGGGCGCACTCCGAAGACGCCGGTCTTGGTCGACGTCTACGCCGAGCTCACCTTCGACAACGAGGAGGCACAGGAGCGACAGGAGGAGTACTGGCAGAAGGTCGCCTCGTTGCAGTACATGGCGACGACGACGAGGCCGGACATCGCCTTCGCCTGCAGCAAGCTGGGGAGCGGCCTCACGGTGAGGAGCGACCAGCATTGGCGCGAGGTCGACCGCTGCCTCGCCTACCTCGCCAACACGCGTGACACTGCCCTAGAGTTCGGCGGTGGGCCAGAGTCGCTGGAGCTCGTCGGCTACGTGGACGCCGACGACGCCGGCGACAAGCAGAAGCGGACAAGCGCGGGCGGCTACGTGTTCGTCTACAGAGGGGCCGCAGTCTCCTGGTCGAGCCAACGTATCAAGTGCGCGACGCTGTCGTCCACCGAGTCGGAGTACGTTGCGGCCACCGAAGCCAACAAAGAGGGACGCCGCCTTCGCATCCTCCTTGCAGAATTCCGGCAGCTGAATGCCGGGAAGCCAACCGTCCTTCGTGTGGACAACAAGTCGGCCATCATGGTCGCCGAGGGCATGGGGTTGACGGGCAACCTCAAGCACATGGAGCGGCGACAGGCCTGGCTGCAGCACATGGTGAAGCGCGGGAAGTTTTCGCTGAGGTACATCCCGACCGCTGAGCAGCCGGCCGACTTCCTGACACAGGCGCTGCACTATCCGGCCTTCAACCGGTGCTCCGTCGCAATCGGCCAGGTGCACTTGGCCGACGTGGGCGACGGCGACAACGACGTGCAGCAGTAGGTGCCATGCCCTCTTGCATGGCTGGTGCGGTGACCGGCATGCTGTGTGTGGGGTGCACGCCGACGAGCTATTCTCCGAGGAGTTCTGCCGTGTGGGCTGGGGGCCCAAGCGTGAACGCAGCAGGGAGTGTCAACGAGAGACGTTGTGAGGCCCCGTCCTCGCTTAGGCGGAGCCGAGTTAGTGGTCGGGTGTGAGAGGAGCAGCCGACTTGCAGTAGTGGACGAGCTTGTCGACAAGACTGGTCGACCTATACGGGGGCCACTGCAACCAATTTCAGGAGGGCGCCAACTTCGGGGAGGTCGACCTGGGAAGTCAAACTGCGGAGGGCATCGACTTGGGGCAGCCGACTTGGGTGGCCGGCTGACAGAAGTGCTAGTTAATCTGGTGTTGGCCGACCAGGAGTGTCGTCGACCTGGAGCTGGTCGACCAAGGATGTGGTCGACCTGGTGAGGTCGACTGGTGGTGGTCATCGACTTCGGTGGTCGACGGGCACGCGAAGGAGCAGCTGGTCGACGTGGTTGCTCGGTCGACCAGGTTACCTGGGTGACGAGGGTCTACGGAGGAGTGCGACGGTCGCCCAGGCAGTTTCGGCGAGACCGACCTCAATAGTGGCATTTCGAGGTCGACGTGGCGGATCAGGTGCAGTCGTCAGCACGAGGACGATTCGGTATTTGCGCTGTGCAGGTGACGAGGCAAAGCACGCCAATCATCTCCGAGCACCTGCGAAGCGGGTGCGCTGCTGTCCTGCGGGAGCAACGTTGGCACGCCGTCGACTTGCGATGTTGGTATGCCGTCTAACTGCAGCGTTGGCAAGCCGCGACTCTGCACTGTTGGAGCGCGGTCGACAAAGTCGTGCTGGCACGCGGTCGACCATGCTGCGCTGGCAGTCGACAGACCTGCATCCTAGCTTTAATGTAGTCCTGTCTTGCCAACTTCATTGTATCATTGTTCCCAACTTTTCTCAGTGAAACGATTGCCATTTCTCCCCGTGAACTAGCAAGTGGTGTGAAGCACTTGGAAACGACTAAGGAACGAACGAACGCAGAGATCACACGAGCGCCCGTGCCTAGCCCGTAATCTAGCTCCTGTTGTAGTAGCTATCTCCGCATGCAAATAATAGCATCACATAACAAACTCCCCCTTTGGCTGCCAACCATCATCCCACATGCCATAGCTCAAGCATGCACCCTCAATGCACAATCATTCCAGCAAGCTTCATCAACTTGCACCATTCTTCTAACACCCATCTCAATGGAGAATCAAACATCTCCGCTTTCCTCCAATATGCCGCACCCCTTTGCAACCTTTGTTTCACAGAAGTAAGCTCCAGAACATCTCAATGCAGACCCATAGCAGAAGGCTATCTCATCCTCATCACACTGCTCAGCCACACTCCCAGCTGATACCACACTTGGCGTGCCACGGCTCGCATAGCTCAGCCTGGCAAGAGGGCGCACATCCCTCCTAACACGCTCAGGCTGGTGTGGGGCACGTGGTGGAGCTCCTTGCTGCTGCTGCTGCTGCTCCTCCACCTCAGGTTCTCCCCCATCCCCAGTCACCCCAAAGATCTCCTCCTCCAACGCAGAGACCTCCACCTGTCTTGAAGGTCGCTGCACCTCATCGGCCTCAACGATCAGCAGAGTAGCAGGAAGCTTTTTCTACTGCTGCTTCCACTCCTTGTAGTACAGGGACTGAAGGAACTTCACATCCTTTGACACAGTCAACTTCTGGTTGGTCAGGTCTCATAGCAGCTAGCCCTTGTGGTCCTTTGCAATCCCCAAGTGCACACCCCATCTCCCAGAAGCTTTCACCTTTCCCCTCTTCTCCTTAGGCACATGAAACACCAACATGCAGCCGTAGGCTCTTAGCATGTTGACTGCTGGTGCACTCCCATACCACTTAGTGTAGGAGACCCACTGCTTTTCCCCCACAATCGCCAGCACCATGTTCTTCACAAGGAGATTGCGAGCACCTTTCTGCAGGGTCTGGTTGAACCGCTCAGCCACGACGTTATGCTGAGGGTTGTAGGGCACTGTGAGATAATGCTGGATCCCCTTCTTCTTTAGCACCGCCTCAAATTCATCGCTAATGAACTTCCCTTCATTGTCGGTGCGGATCACCTTCACCTTGTGTCCGCTCTCCTTTTGAGCGCTCGACATCCACTCATTTAAAAAAAGCCGCTGCAACCTCCCCCTTAGTCTTGAGAGGGTACACCCACACCGCACGCGTGTGGTCATCCACAGTGGTAAAAATGTAGCGGCTGCCCGAGAGAGAAGGAACCCTCGTAGGGCCCACCACATCCATGTGCACAAGCTGGTCCCGTGCCGCTGCTAAAGGGAAACTTCGTGAACTTCGTTTCAAGGCATGTAGGGCAGCTCCCAATCTCTTTTGCTGCCCCCTTCACTTCCAGCCCCTTCAAGCTCCCATCTTTCACCATTTTCACCAGCATATGAATGTTGATGTGACACAACCTCTCGTGCCACGTCTCCCAATCGGCCTCACCACTCTCAGATAAAGCCTTTGCCCATGCAGCTGTCCCATCCACACCAGCAAGCACCTCACCATGTGGTTGCTGTGGCTGCTGCACCTTCTTGACTGCATCTAGGGCC